CTGATCGGCCTAGCTGATCGGCTTGATCGGCTCGTTCGGCTTGAAATTAGAGTTAGTTAGAATTGAATAAAAAAGTAAATACTTAGAATTAGAATTTCATTTGATTAGCATAAGTAGAGTTCGATTTTAATCAAATTTCAGTAGAATTAGAATTAATGCTAATTAATATCGAGTTAGTATTTAACTTATTGAAAATTTTGTCAAAAATTGAAAGCGATTCCGATTTAAATTAGACTTTCAACTTTATCGGGCCCATCGGCTTGATCGGCTTGATCGGCCTGATCGGCTTGATCGGCTTGATCGGCCTGATCGGCCTGATCGGCTTGATCGGCCTGATCGGCTGGATCGGGCTGATCGGCTTGATCGGCCATGATCGGCTTGATCGGCTTGATCGGCTTGATCGGCCTGCTCGGCCGGATCGGCGTGATCGGCTTGATCGGCCGGATCGGCCTGATCGGCCTGATCGGCTTGATCGGCTGGATCGGGCTGATCGGCTTGATCGGCCATGATCGGCTTGATCGGCTTGATCGGCTTGATCGGCCTGCTCGGCCGGATCGGCGTGATCGGCTTGATCGGCCGGATCGGCCTGAGCGGCCAGATCGGCTTGATTGTCCTGGTCGGCTTGATCGGCTGGATCGGCCTGATACTGTCTTCTTGAGTCCCCAATGACGCTGTGTCCATTCAGCGGCGTCATTGCGACCATTTAGCGTCGTCATTGCGACCATTTAGCGGCTACGTTGTTTTCTTCGCTTATATTACTTATATAAATGCGCCTGCTGCATGGCCCCTAAGTGTTGAACATACGGGGGCCCCCCCCCCCCCGACGAACAGAATCAACTCTTACAGGACCAAATTCAATGCACAATCCCAACTCCTGATTGTAATACATTTTTGCTAAAGCAAGGAGAACTCAGGTAGCTCAAGCTACCTTTCGTGAATAGATAATAAAAAAATGTGTTGCACCCAGGGGTGCGTTTCAAGAATTTTTGATGGGATCGGATGGAATCAAAAAGTAAACCTGGAGCTATAGGACAAATATTTAAGAATGCACTGCTACTGCTACTGCTACCGCTACCGCTACGGCTACCGTTACTCCTCCGACTCCTGCTACTGTTACTGTTACTGTTACTGTTACTGTTGTTACTGTTACTGTTACTACTGTTACTGTTACTACTGTTACTACTGTTACTACTACTACTACTACTACTACTACTACTACTACTACTACTACTACTACTTGTGGCGGTAATGCTTCTATTCAGACTCCCTCGATTGTTTGCTGGGGGGACGGTTTATGCTATTTAAGGTCCAAGATGACATCTTCTTTGCCAGTCATGTTGATACGATCTTGAAGACCCCCACGTAGATCTGATATAACCCAACCAGCTTCCTGTCTACGATCAATACATAAAATGGTGATGTGATGGAATCGTGTACATCTTCGAATGCAGGTCGTAAGAGATCTATACGATTTGAGGCGACCCCCAGCAGCACCCAGACACGACCCATGGGACTGCCATACTGTATGCCATATACCAGCACCCGAGACCTGCCAGGTCTCCGAAATTGAGGCTTTAACCGACCTCAAAGTCGCAGGTGGTGACCTGTTGAAGGGTGCCATATATGCCGATCAGGCCAGGGGTGCTTTTGGGGGTCAATGGAGCGGCATACATGGAGTGTCTGGGGTAGATCATCGATTTCGTGTAAGATGACCTCCGTCTCCCGCCGGTGCCCCCCCACCGCGGTCGACCATGACGTCTTGTTAACGGCTCCGCGGAGAAACCAGGCGCCGGGTCGCATTGGGTCGCCCCGACGAAAACAGCGAGGCGGGGCGATAGACACCCCCGACGTTCGGAGGGTGGTAGACAATGACCTTCTCAAGCCCGAACAGCCCTTTTTCGCCCATCCCATATGTACCACTACAGCATCCTATATGGTCTCTCAACCTCTCTTGGTATGACCTTCTCAAGCTCATTGACTTCGCCAAAGCACTGCCATGTCGGGAAGGACTCATGTCCGGGTGTAGACTCATCCGCGACGCGCTTCGGCCCGTCGAAAGCCCCAAGGCAACCCTGGCAGTGTTCGTCTATCAAATCGCCCTATATAACCAAAGAACTCACCGGTAGGTCGCAACCGTCAAATGCATCTTCTTCGATGTGTCTGACTGAGTCCGGGATGCTCAAGTTCGCCAAGGAGCTGCAATTCGCAAAGGCACAATCTCCAATGTGGGTCACGGAGTCTGGGATGGTCAAGCTCACCAAAGAGCTGCAAGATGAAAAGGCAAAATCCCCAATGTGGGTCACTGAGTCTGGGATGGTCAAGTTCACCAAAGAGCTGCAACCTTGAAAGGAATACTCCCCAATGTAGGTCACTGAGTTCGGGATGGTCAACTCCACCAAAGAGCTGCAAGCGGCAAAGGCACTGTCCCCAATGTGGGTCACTGAGTTCGGGATGGTCAGCTTCGCCAATGTTTCACACTTGCGAAAAGCATCCTCAAGAATGTGCGTTTCACCGTTGGGAATTTCGACCACTAGCAGCAGTTCGGAGTCGACGATGCCGCCACGACTGACGATCTCATCTTTGTTGGAGCATATCACTTGTTTGATTTGAAGACAAGACTCACGACGGTATCTTCAGCAATTCCAACGTCCACATCACTGTCCAGCAATTGGTTGTCTCCGACAATGACCTCGACACCTGTAGTGCTGCGAGTGAGCTCGTCCCAAGGCTTTCTCTCCTTGATCTGCTGCTTGAGTTCCTTGCCTGTCATCTCAGGTGTGACTTCAAGAACCATGACTTCGCCACTTGGTTGCAGCGCTGAAATTTTTGTTGTCATGGCTCAAAGACTAATTGCGGATTTGGATTTAAGCTGATTGCTTCTTGGCTAGCCCTGTCTATGATCATGAACACATATTATCGTTCTCTTTTTTCAGGGCACCTATCATTCGAATGAATATTCCACAAAAACTGTCGCCACTGGTGACACATGTTGTTTGACAAAAGGTGCAAAGAGACATCATCCTGCGCCACCTGTGATATTAATTGGTGCATATCTAGCTAGTGTAGCCTGAAGTGTACGTCTTGACCCCAAAACGCTTCCTCAGGCACCAAGGCGTTCACCGTGTCAATTTCATGTGCCGAGTGCGGCGGCCTTATTAAATCAAAATGGCGAGCTGAGACGATGGGTTTCAGCAGCTGTTGAGTGGTGGAAGTTACAAGTAACTTGATGTATTAAAAAAAACCCGATACATTTTGTATGACCACTTTCAGCCTTATCGTTTTTTTAAAATTCTTTATCGTTTTTCAATGTTTGGAACTCAGTATACAGTCTCTTGTCGTTTCCCAGCTAACCACACATGTCCCTGCCTCCACTGCAAAAAAGTCGGTGTCTGTTATGTGTGTGCGCGCGTGCATATGTTCAATGAAAATTTGACTGTTCAAAATGTCCTTCAAACAGACTCCAAACATCAAGGAAAGCCAGGAACTGAAGGAATTTGACCAGGAAAATCACTAAGAATTAAAAATCAACTAGCTACTTTTTCTACACTTTTTCTCCTCTCCCCCTGTCTCTGTGTCTATTCCCTTTACGGGGGGAGAGCGGTGAGCACCCCTCGGGCCCCAACCTGTTCGCCGGTTCCCGGCTCGAACGGTACCTCGATGGAGTCTTATTGGTGGACGAACTGAGCCTGCTCCACCCCAAAAGCAGCCCTAAATCCGGGCCTTACCGGTAAGGCCCGGATTTTCACCTCCAGGGGCACCAGCAGAACAGGTTGGAATACCGACGGATGATCCGACGGCCCTTGATGTTTGGAGTCTGTTTGAAGGAAATTTTAAAAGTTTTGAATTTGTACATGTGGGACATGGTCTTCCCGAGGACTTTTTCGTGTATTCTTGTTACCGTTTTTGTTATCGTTTTGATATCGTTTTGGAACCCCCAACGGTTCACCCATTTTGGTGGCCTAACGGACTCAAACACTTAATACAACATATTCTCAAGAATGATTCACATGGGTGCTGTTGACATGTCGGCCTAACATCCACTGAATTAGAATCCATGCATGTACATGCAACTATACTTACCCATATGGATCAGCAAATGTCTACCCATGTCCCAGCGATGCTCAAGGAGCCAAAAAAGAAATCACTCCTGAATGCTTGTATTACACGAAAACCTTGACATGAAACACTCTTGTTAAAAAGAATGCACCTGAAATCTATAACTGGATTTGACAGCTATTTGCTTCAAGAACTGAAGGCATTTGAATTTCCAATGCTTCTATTCTCACGTACTGTACTGCATGTATTACATGAGTGTTATCGTTTCTTTTAACTCTTTATCGCTTTACAATGAATCAGCCATGGTTTGCTAAAACGGGACCACTGCTTACATTTCTCCTAGGTCCCGGGTTTTTTTAAAACATCACTTGAGGCCGAGGGTAGGTGACGAAAGCTAGCAGGGGTGCATCCGGACTTGTTGGATCGTCATGTATATATAATGAGGGACTGAAGAAAAGCAACGCAGCATCATGAGCATCACGGGAAGTCACAAACCAGGCGTATCAGATACACCTGGTTTATGTATGTTTGTTTGAGCATCTTTGTCGAGTGAAGTGTCAGCCATATGCACTGAGATGCCGAAGGAAGCTCAAAGGCACGTGTATCTGATACGCCTGGTTTCTGACTTCCCGTGATGCTCATCATTGAAGCCTTGAACCCTCGCGTAAATTTCATGTTTCTAGCTTTCGTGATTACAAATGAAGTTTGAGACTGAATGGAGGGGTCCAGACTTCGCGTCTGGGCTGAGCACTTCTTCGAAACGGATTGACTGAAGGAAATTCCGACCGGAGGGCGAGCACCCGCTCGCTCTCCTCGCCGACGGTCGAACGAGGTCGTCGCGGTCCAATGGCGCAGCGCAGCACGGATCGTATCTCTACGCGTGAGCTGAGGCGCTCCCGACGCGGTGCATTCAGGTCATGCACGTCGTGGTACCAGGCAGGATAGCCTGTGGAACGAAAGGGACATGGACCGTCCTCCAGGGATGCTTCGGAGGTTCCGACCTGAACCCGACTGACCAAGTCGTCCTCTCCAACAATGGGACATGACATCACCCTATCAAAACATGCAGGTACCCATTGATCTGAGGTGACGGGTCCTATATTTATTATATATATAAGATCACAAAAGATCTCTCTGTGAACTCCGGTATTTCACGATGTCCTACCAGTGAATGGCATATTCATCCAGGTCGCTGTTGAAGCTCACAGCCGTCGCATGGCTCAAGCATCTGTCCTGATCCTTCCTCAGAAGGCTGGTGAACTAGCTTGGTTCGGACAATTGATGTCGATGTCTGGTTAGTCAGATCGATGTTCCTTTGGTTGGAGCCATGAAAACAGGCACCATCACGGCACATCACGGGGCAGCGAAAGCAAGAGAGCAATACTATGCCATTTTAGTAATGTAATATATAGAATTATAGCCATCAAATGGACCGAGTCAATGTATGTAATTGCCAACGCCATCGGTCGTGTCTTGGTTCTGTTGGATATACAACCTTTTCCAATTAAGACCATCACAGCTCACAGATCTCCAAGCATCTTGTTGGACGCCCAGCTCCGCAACCGCGTGGGATCGCGGCTCGCGACCTGTGCGCAGGCCGCGTAGGCCGGGCAGGCGCGCGGGTCGTTGGAGGGACCTTCGTTGAACCAGGCCCAGACCATGATGGACGGGTGGTTCCTCAGAGCAGCGGAGCGCAGCGGAGCGGTGGAGGAGCGGTGGTTGGAGGTGGGTTCGGACGGCCTGCCGGCTCGAGAGCCTGTCAATGGTAGTTCCATTGCCTGGTGACACCTTTTTGTGCCAAGTGGTCAGATCTTCTTTGGGGGGGGAGGGAAAAACCACATGGGCTAAACTGAGAGATGTGCAGAAGTCTGCATCCATTCCAAAGGGCCAAGATTCATGCTCGCTTCCATCATTTCTTCCATTTGCTGCAACCTCAGATGTTCCCACACTCACAACAGGCCCACCCACCAGATGCGCAGTCTCCATCCGGCAAACCAGCGTGGATGCCAGAAGGGCATCCGGGCAGAAAGAGTCATGCCATGATTGTGGCCCAATTCCGGTAAAATGAACACCTGTCATTCCCAGCGCACCTGGTGCGCACACCTGGTGCCGCACTCAGGGAAGATCAAACCTGTTTCTCAGCCCTGTCCATCCTGTCCAGTTCACTGACCCATCTGGTGGTGTTTGGGTGGACCAGAGCGACTCCTCACGGCAAAACTCCTCAACTCGTTCGCTGGGTCATTCGACCTGACCCGCCACTCAGGCTGCTGAAACGAATGATGGCCCCTACAATGATGTTTCAAGGCACGGCACAATGACATATCCATCATATCCATCATATCCTTATTACCCTCCTACTAGGACTGCTGGCCATGCCACTGGTACTTCATGAAGTAGTTCCAATCCTGGGAGATTTGAGAAAAAAAACAAGTACTTGGTCGCTGGCCACGCCACCCACCGTGGTCGCTTTTCATTCTCCTGGACCCTCTGTTCATCGGCGGTCCTTGGGGTTTTATCTAAGACGTGCTCGGAGCAAAAGAAAGAGGGCGCCCCTGACATTCCTGGCCCATCAGTTAGAAATATATGAATGGTCTGAATCATAAGGAGTCCCTTGCTTTACGCTGATGATCCATCGCAATAGCCATATTGTGATTATATATATACATTTATACATATATTATTTGCCTTGAGGTTCGAAGGCTCGGCGTCCTTTCTTCCTACTCTGATTGAGTGGACCCGTTTGACCTGTGGCTCGGAGCCCCCGGTGGTGGCTCGGAGCCCCCGGTGGTGGCTCGGAGGTGAACTCGTCTCGTCTCGTCCCGAGTCCAAAAGGAGCTCGGACGGCAGGTGTGAGGTCACCTGGTCCTTGTACTCACTGAGTATGCTCTTTAATGATACAAAAATAAATAAAAGCAAAACCGTCTGCATTTTCCCAGACCCTGTGAAATGAGGTCCTGAAAAAGCACGAGTTCGAGCCCCTAATTAGCTTGAACGCCATCGAAGTCCTTAGCCCGCCGGTTACCCGACCCGACTGAAGGAAGTCGAAAGGAACCGAGTGAAAAGTCCACAGATCCCAAGCAACATGTCCTACCCAGACGCTCCGTGCACGACGCCCGACTGCCTGGTCCCCGAACCAAACCGATCGGGATTGGTGAGAAACCCCAGACCCCTGACCCGAGGAGACCTCGGATCCGACCCCTCCGTATCGCGTCTGGGTAGGTTGTTGGAACATCTTGGAGCCCACCCACGCGACCCGATCGAATCCTCCGTTCAAGGATCAGGGCATATCAGGGCCGTGAAACCAACTCCTGGACCAGAGGGGTCCGGACCCTGGCTGGACTACCCTACACTACCAGGGGCTCCAGACTATGGCCTTAGAGATCTCCAGACAGTACACCCAAACAGGATGGTCCAGGTAATTACAAATCCATGAACTTTATAACTATAGAGATAACCACTCACTCTGCTCCCAACAAAAAAAACCACCTACTGTACTCTGGTTTACTCGCTCCTGACACACTCCTCGGCTCTCCCATCTTGCCCTAATCGGACCCCCGCACGTCCGAGTGTCCAAAGTGTTCTCCACCTTGACCTGAGGCCCCAGAGTTTCCTCCCACATGGCCAAGCCCTCTTCGTCCAAGCGATCCAACCAGCGTTGGTCCTGTGCGACCGAGAATCTCGCGGCGAAGGAGACCGAGCTGCGGAGCAGCGCAGGCGGCATGTGTATATAGTAGCTGGCCCTTTGTTGGTGTATTGGGTGCTACATTCCCCTCTCACTAACCTAAAACAAAAAACAAAACCCCCCTGTTCGTTCAAGAAGGCCGTCTTCGGACCATGCCATCCACGTCCAATCCACTTCCATCCCCTTCCACGACCCGTCTGGTACTGCCATCATTGACCGATGAGTTGTTGGGCTGCCAGGCGGGGTCTTTCTGGGGCGGCAGAACGATGGCAGTCCCATTGGAGAGAGCCTGTTTTCAAGGATTCTGGCCTTATGAAAGACTTTTATAATCCCAAACAGGTCGCGTCTGGGCATTCAACATCGCATCACCGGGCTACTGGCGGTGTCGTGGTCACGGAACCCGGGTCGAGGTCCAACACCGGGACCTTGGCCTCTCCGCTGAGGACGATGGTTCGGCGGTGTGAGCGACATGGGAAGGACCGGGGCCATCCTTGGAATTTCGGCCATGTTTCGAACAACCAACAGAGGTTGAATGACCCTTTAGACTATCCCATAGGTACCCCAGTAGGGTCCTATCAGGTCACTTAACCTCTCTTGGAATAGCCTGAATCTTCCAAGAATGCCTGCCAGATCTGCCGAACTGTGGCCTGGTTGAGTATTTCAGGGCCTCCGGTTTGGGGTGTCTAATAATAGCCCATAATAGCCCTATGAGTTATAGACTAACTAGAGCTCGAGTGAGGTTAAGGGATGTCCATTGATTATATCACCACTCCTCCAGCCCTGGGGCCCTGGGGCCCTTGAAGCTGGACAGACATGGCAGATCCAGGGCAGATCGCGGTCAGATCCGGTGCTCAAACAAAGGGACAAAAACCGCGGAAGACCTGAACCCTAACCTCTAACCCACACGTGAACTCACAAGAGGCACTACCTGGCAGTACCTGGCAGTACCTGCTCGACTCACTCCAGACCCGACTCTAGCCTAGCGAAGTCCTTAGTACAAAAGTCCCCAAAGCAGGGTTTTTGAGAACTCTCCAGACCCATGTCAGACTCTTCTTATCTTTGACTCCCAGGGCGCCGCCGAAGGCGGCCGAAGGGCTGACTCTCAACACCTCTGATCCACGCATCTGATCCACGCGGATCAGGTCGACCGGTCTGTCTTCGTCGTTGAACTGGAACTGCTGGGAAAAATATAACATATACCTAGATCTTCAGTCCGGCACTTTTACAGGGTCCGGCGCCGGACTTCCAACTCCGGCGTTTTTCTGGATTTGGTCCGGCGCTTTTTCCAAGTCACTTTATGTGGATTCTCAAGGCTTTGCATTCTTTGTGGTTTGCATTTCTTTGAAGGTAAACCCACTACTGATGCATGCAATGATTTTGTTTGCAAAGTGTGCTCGTTTGCCTGTTCCGCTGTTTTCTCATTCCACCGGTTTCAGCATGGTTCACACTGGATCAATCAGATCCGTTTAGGTGATCTTCTAAATGAAATCGGATGAAGCCGGTACAGTGCGATGCACCTGTTGAAAGACCCAAGTGGGTGTACCTAAGCTGAAAGAGCATAGGCAAAAATGTACTCCCATTGTTTCAGGATGTCGGGGCGCTGGGATATAGTTCTAGCTGCGCAGGTTTGCAGAGCCTGCCGGACAAGTTTTGGGCTGTGGAACATGTGTTGTTCAGAATCTCAATGTTTTGCAGAGAGTTGTCAAAAAATGGCACGTCGTAACTCCGGCGTAATTTCCCGTAATTCCGGCGTAATTTCCCGTAACTCCGGCGTAATTTCCCGTAACTCGGGCATTTTTTTGGACTGAGTCTTCTGCAGGCTTTGATTGTGAACAGTTTTTCACAGAAGAGTTTTGACAGGAACCATGAGTTCTGCTACTACTTTATTGGGGGGCCGTCCTGAGGCAAGCTTTAATGAAACATTAAGAAGCATAAGAATCATGGAGAGCAGCCCACTTTGTAAAAAAACACTTTAGAGACACGGTTGCAGAGAAAGAGGAGTTCCTTGCCACATACTCCTTGGTTTTTTCTTGGAAGTCTTTGCTTGGGCACAAGTTGCTTACATTGTGTGATGGTTTTGCTCTTAGGCCATTCGGAAGATGGGCGAGGGCAATGGGAACGGGAAGGTTCGAGTGTGCTCCAGAAAAACTACTCGCGGCGCAAAGGCAGTTTCCTCGTGTATGATCCAACCTTTTATCATCTGTTTTTCAGAATCTTGGATCCGGATGTTTTTTCAGGTCTCCGGCGTTTTTTTCGGAATCCGGCGGAAAATTTTGCCGGATTGAGGTCCGGCACTTTTTTCCGCCCAAAGGAGGATCCAGGTATATATATAGTTTAAACATGGCGGCCAATTTTTCGTACGCTCCTGTCTTGCCCCATCCAACAGATTTAGAGGTGAGTCAGATGTTCTTCCCAACTGATCCAGGTGCTTCCCATCAATGCTACGTCTGCTACGTCGCTGCTACGTACAGGCCTAGGTGGATGGCAGCAGGTGGATGGTTCAATTCATGAAAACTTGCTTCGACTGTTTAAGTGCACAAATTGCACAAACCCGTAAATCGAACCGGTATTTTTTTGCCATTGTTAAATCGACCTCCTTCTCTTGGCCAACAAACAATTGTCGAATGCACCTTCCTCAATGTGAACTGACTTCTTCTGAATGAACAAGTGCACCAAAGAACAACAGTCCGCAAATGCCCACTTCCCAATGTGGGTTACTGAATCTGGGATGGTCAAGTTCACCAAACAGCTGCAATCCCGAAAGGCAGCATCACCAATGTAGGTCACTGAGCAAGGAATGGTCAGGTCCACCAAAGAGCTGCAATCCCGAAAGGCACCGTCCGGAATGTGGGTCACTGAGTCCGGGATGGTCAAGCTCACCAAAGAACTGCAATGGAAAAAGGCATAAACCCCAACGTGGATGACTGAGGGTGGGATGGTCAAGTTTACCAAAGATGTACAGTCCGCGAAGGCCCGCTCCCCAATGTGAGTCACCGAGCCTGGAATGGTCAGGTTTGCCAAACACGTGCAACCCCAAAAAGCATCAGCCGCAATGTGGGTCACTGAGTTCGGGATGGTCAAGTTCACCAAAGAGCTGCAATCCCGAAAGGCAGCATCCCCAATATGGGTCACTGAGCCTGGAATGCTCAAGTCTACCAACGAGCCACAATCCCGAAAAGCACCATGCGGAATGTGAGTTACTGACATGGAGTCTGGCATGCTCAAGCTCACCAAAGAGCTGCAATGGCAAAAGGCATCATCCCCAATGTGGATCACTGAGGGTGGGATGGACAAGTTGGCCAAAGAGCTGCAACCCCAAAAGGCACCATCTCCGATGTGTGTCACAGAGTTTGGAATGGTCAAGTCTACCAAAGACGTGCAACTCCTAGCTGCCTCACACTCAATGTGGGTCACTGAATTCGGGATAGTCAAGTTCACCAAAGAGCTGCAATTCTGAAAGGCAGCACCCCCAATGTGGGTCACTGAGCAAGGAATCGTCAAGTCCACTAAAGAACAGCAATCCCGAAAGGCACCATGCGGAATGCGGGTCACTGACACTGAGTCTGGGATGGTCAAACTCACCAAAGAGCTGCAATGGTAAAAGGCATCTTCCCCAATGTGGATCACTGAGGGTGGGATATACAATTTCGCCAAAGAACTGCAGTTTGCAAAGGCCTGTTCTCCAATGTGAGTCACTGAGTCTGGGATGGTCAAGTTTGACAAACACGTGCAACCCCAAAAAGCACCAGCTGCAAGGTGGGTCACTGAGTTCGGGATGGTCAAGTTCACCAAAGAGCTGCAATCCCGAAAGGCAGCATCCCCAATATGGGTCACTGAGCCTGGAATGCTCAAGTCTACCAACGAGCGACAATCCCGAAAAGCACCATGCGGAATGTGAGTCACTGACATGGAGTCCGGCATGCTCAAACTCACCAAAGAGCTGCAATGGTAAAAGGCATAAACCCCAATGTGGATCACTGAGGGTGGGATGGTCAAGTTCACCAAAGATGTACAGTCCGCCAGGCCCACTTGCCAATATGGATCACAGAGTCTGGCATGGTCACTTTGGCCATACCTTCACAGGAGTGAAAGGCATATTTGTCAATGTGAGTCACTGAGTCCGGGATGGTCACCTCGGCCAACCACTCACACTCTGCAAAGGCCCTCGCAGAAATCTGGGTGTCGTGGCCGGGGATTTCAACCATCAGGAAGAGTTCTGAGTCAAATTCACCGCAAAAGCTGGCGATTGCATCCCTGTTAGAGCATCTCACGGTGTTTGGTTTAAATACAACACTCACAACTGCATCTGCAGTGAGACCTGCATCTGTCACCGTCTCATCGTTGCCCAACAGCCGTTCTCCAAGAACAAGCTCCACCACTGTGGTTCTGCGAGTGAACTCATCCCAGGTCTGCAATTCTCTGATCTGCCTTTTGAGCTCTCGACCTGTCATTTCCGATGTGACTTCCAGATCAATCCTTTCACCGTTCGCCCGCAGTGCTGAGAGTCGTTTCGTCGCCATTGGCATGACCTAGTCTTGCCTTTCGCTTTTTGTGGATTCGTGGGATATTCTTGCTCTAACTACCTGGTCAACATGACCTATTCGAGATAACTAGTCTTAGCTATGATCTAAGCTGTTCTCGGATTTCTTCTTCGGCTTCCGGACCTGGGCCAAACGTGGAATTCCGGTGGCCAAACGTCGACCACATCAACACGCCCGCACCGGCACCGTTGGGTGAGTGCTCATCCGATGAGAGATGCGATGTGACCCCACCGCACTGAGGAGGTGGCCCGAGGCGAACCGACCACCCCAAAGCCAGCAAGCCTGCGCAAGTGACTCGCTACCAGTAACTCACTCCTAGCCTTCCTGTTGGCTCGTATTTCTTCGGGAGTTTCGAGAAGGGGAGACACCCCCCTCTGACGCTCGCGGCGGACCGCGGTCCTGCGGGTAGTGCGCGCCCCGCACGAAGTTGGCGTTCGCATTCCTCAGCAGCGCCAGATCGCCGTCCAGCTGCGCCGCCGTGGGCGACGCGCCGGTGTCCAGCCATTGGGTGTGGTGGTTCCAGCCATGGAGCTTCACCTGTTCAGGCGGAAGTCCAGCTCGGCCAAGGTTATACGTGATCCTTTTGGCAGGTCAAGTGAGTTGAACAGGTTTTTGCGGTATACGTTAGACTACTCCAGGAGTCACATGTTGGGGTGCCGGTTCCGAACGGAGGTAGTCGGGGTGCCCCTGTCACATCCGGATGGGACGAGCCACACCACACCACCCCGTCGAACGTGACCATTAGACTACTCAGGTTATTTGATGGATCATTCCAATGGCTGCTGTGCTGCTGTGCTGCTGTGGTATATATTATATATTTACATGCAACCCCTGAAACCACCCAATGTAGGCATATACGCCCTACATGGAGTGCGGGATATACTTCATCCTGATCTGATCCTCTGTGTCAAAGGCCTCTTCCCCGTTCAAGGTGAGCCGTCCGCGGCTCGTGCCCCAAAGCCGCAGCCCAAAGCGCTCGATCGTCTCAGCACCAAAGGTGCTGAGGCGCAGCGTGTGCAGCTGCGGGGTCTGCAAGGACCACACGCGCGGCTGCGGCACGCGAAGGGAATGGAAGCTGAACTTGCCTGGGACGCGTCGGACAAGGTGACGCATAGACCTGGATCTTCCAGCTGTGCAAATGTTCTGCCTCTTCATCTACCCTAAGAATCCGAGCTCGGGCTCTCCATGGCAGGGGTCGGACCTTCTCCACCGAAACGCGTCCGGGGTCCGGGCCCGAACCAAACCCTATGTGTTGGTGAAGGGCCCGGACTCTTAAGGTATAAAACATGATCAAAACCACCCCCAGGGTGGAAAGGGTGCACGCGGCCGGACGATCCAGGGATACACTCACAAACACACCAAGAAACATGGAGATGAAGCCGTGAGAAGGCGTAGTTTTTATGCGAAAATAAATGGAAAATGGACATGAAGCGCATGAAGCCTCGAAGAAGAATGGTCAACTCCACTGAGACTTGAGGTGTCCTAGGTGTCCATCAACTCTCCCCCCTTTCGCATCTCCAGAATGCACGGTCGACCTTCTGAGAGGGCGATTGGAAGTGATTGGAGCCACTTTTTGAGATCTTTGAAGTAGGTGTCTTGAGGCTCCAAACACCTTCGAGTAGGGGCTACGACTGGATCTGCTGCCAGGTTGGCACACTCCCATCCCACCCCGAAAACCACCACTTTGCCGTGGCCGGCACCGTTCACCGCCGTGGCATTTAGGAGCGCCGGTTCATTCTCATCGAAGGCGACTTGGCAGCGGATGAAGCCATTGAATTTGGAGGTCAGGGTCACATAGACATCGACCTGTCGAAAACTTCTGAAGCCGGCGGTCGCCGGCGGTCGTAGGGTCGAGCTCGGTTCCGAGGAAGGTGTTGAGTCCGCAATGAACGAAGGATATTACATGATATGATATTACTAACATCCAGGAGTCACAGAGGGGTGGTTTTTGGTCCCTAAGTGAGTGAGTGGAGTAGCTGGGCACCCCGACTACCTCCATGGATCGCACCCCTTTGTGACTGCTGGATGGTGGAAGTGGATGGCATGGTCCTGATGTTGGAGGACATTTTTCCTCCTTATACGTAGTTTAAGGGAGAGTAAGAGGTACTGCAACTAGATTCACAGTGCACTGCCAGGTCACACCACCAATACACTCGCCAGTCATCTCACATAGACCCGGGTCCGTCCTGGTTCGTCCCCAAACGACGTGGTGTACTCAGGGTCCATAGGATCGTCTTCCCGGGTGTAGTTCCTAGGGCCTAGCCTCTTGACGAGACCGAGTCGGGTGCTGATGTAGATGATGCAGCCTCTATCACCCTCCAACGCTGGAGACCCGAGCGCAGTTGGTGTCTGAACGCCTGTTGTGACCTGACCAGCACCGAACGAAGCTCGGGTGCTGGTACGTGGCGTTGATCGCCACTGCCCTCCAAGCGACGGCGCACGACGACCCACGACGCATGCCGGCCGCGTGCATGTCTGTCCCAGGCGCCGATTCGGGGTGCTCCATGGAAGATTCGGGGTGCCCAGACCACATCCACGGCCACTCAATACCCAGACACTCCATGGGACTGCCATATATGCTTACATTGGGGTGGTTTGGGGGGTCAATGTAGGCATATATGGCAGTCCCATGGAGTGTCTGGGATAGTTGTCGATTCAATCACCCCGGAAAATGGAACGACCTGGTGGTCATCCGTGGCCGTTCAAGTGCCATCATGTCGCCTGCGAGAGAACCACCATCGCCATCCACAACCTGACCTGCATAACCGGCTCTATAGAACTGTCATGAAATTTAGCCCCCAATCTCCAAAGCTGCCCGCATGTTAGAAGGGTCTTGAGAGATACAATGAAAAACGGGCAACATGCAAATGATAAAATTGCCTGGACCCTCCAAAGTCCTCTAGAAAACAAATTTTCCGCTGTACTTTAGACTCCAGGTAGAGGCAGTATTCTTTATGAGGTCTCTTGCATACGTTTCACCCAATTGACCTCGGGCGCCAGATCGACCGCCCCACAGACCGCAGCCCGTTCGCACCATCGTTCGCGAACGCTGTCCTCACAGGTGGTTCGCGTCACGTCGTGCCACTGACTCGCCTGTGATAATGTTGCATTTGGCGAAGGAAAGATGCTTGAAAAATTAAAGAATGGCATCCTCCAAAGGCACGAGTCCCAATGCGCGTTACTGAGTTGGGAATGGTCAATCTCAACAATTTGCGGCAATCCCGAAAGGCTTGGTTCCCAATGTGCGTCACTGAGTTCGGGATCGTCAAGTTCACCAAAGAGCTGCAACCTTGAAAGGAATAATGCCCAATGTAGGTCACTGAGTTCGGGATGGTCAAGTTCACCAAAGAGCTGCAACCCTGAAAGGCCAAATTCCCAATGCGGGTCACTGAGTCAGGGATAGTCAAGTTCACCAAAGAGCTGCAATTCCGAAAGGCGCCATCCCCGACGTGGGTCACTGAGCCTTGAATGGTCAAGCTGGCCAAAGAGCTGCAATCAGCAAAGGCGGAAGTCCCAATGTGGGTCACAGAGTCTGGGATGGTCAAGTTGGCCAAAGAGCTGCAACCACAAAAGGCACCATTCGCGATGTGCGTCACAGAGTTCGGCATGGTCAAGTTTGCCAAAGAGCTGCAACCCAGAAAGAAACACAGCCCAATGCTCGTCACTGAATTTGGGATGGTCAAGCTTCTCAAAGAGCTGCAACCCTCAAAAGCACCAGTCCCAATGTCGGTCGCTGAGTTTGGGATAGTCAAGCTTCTCAAAGAGCTGCAACCCTTAAAGGCCCCAAGCCCAATGTGGGTCACTGAGTCTGGAATGGTCAAGTTCACCAAAGAGCTGCAATC